GACAACCTCCAACTCATTTCCTCTAACATCCGAGTCAGGCTTCAATAGCTGCTCACCCTAATTTAATCGCACGAGAGACACTAACATCATATCTCTTAGACTAGTACTCAAGGTACTTTGAAACAAAGCAAGAAGCTGGGATGTTATGTTGAGCCCTCCGTACCGCATCAAAATCACATCCGAGCACTTCAAAAAACTAAATATCAAACATTAAGATGTGAGATTGCAGCTCCTCGAGTTCAGTGGCTTCTCAACAAGAGCCGGATGTGGTGAGGGTGATATTCTCGAACCCATCAGGAAACCAGAGCAAAACCAATCAAACACATCAGAGCCCAAATCTTGTTCCTGACCACACGGAGCACGTTTCCTCCAGAGTGAAATTCAGCATAGATGAGGGATGAATGCAAATAACTAAAGTCATCAAGCTCGCATCCTGTTGAAGTAGACGGATTAGTTCCTGGGTATTGGTAGTAGAACGCAATACTGCATAAATAAATAACTAATGCATAAATAATCCACCTTACACCCAACTGAGCTTACTGTTTTCCCCACATGGACATTTCACTGCAGCCACGTGTGCAGTGATGTTGCTGTAGACAGGTAAGCAGCAACAGTAACAGTCTTATTGCTTTACTCTAAACAGTTCCACTGTATGACCCTGGACTGTGTGTGTGTGACCTTTTGGATGTGTGGATCATTAAGATTAACATCAGACACTGCTGTGCATAAATGTGCCCAAAGTGCCTGTCTTAATGGGGAGACGCTCCACCCTATGTCAGTAGGATTTAGGATTTTAATTATGGGACTTATCTAAAGGAATAATTTGACATTTTAATCTCTTTCTTGCTTTCCGGCTAACTTAGCTTAGCACAAAGACTGGAAACAGGGGGAAACAGCTAGCCTGGTATGTCCAAAGGCAACAAAGTCCTGCCTACCAGTACCTCTATAGCGACTGTCGGTATCTTATTTAAATTTTGACTTTTAGATGCTGATAACATCATGAGTTCTGTGGTCACTTCGCTCGGTAACCTGAAGACAAACTGAAATCAAAGGGCAAAAAATAAGAAACGCAAACCAAAAGACAGGAAATAAAGTCACACCGAAGCTCCGATTCTGGATGCAGGTCACATTTCTTCACCTTTAAAACTGTTGAAAGTTATTGTGGGATGGTCTGATGTTTCTTTGGCAAGACAATCAAGACAAAACTCAACAATATCTGAGGTCGGTGTCATCTGTAGTCTACGCTGATCTTTCTGCTTATTAGCCATTATCTTACATCATCATCAGCATTATGGACGCTACGCTGATTTCTGATATTCCCACGGGGGCCATATAATGGTCCCCCAGTGGTGATGGTTTCCTCGCTCGTGTGTATGGGGACATACTGAGTCGGCTGTGTGTTTGTAGGGTCGCTGTTATTCATGGAGCCGTTGTTTATATAATTTATTTTCTTAAAATGAATGTGAAGTGGAGCTTCACAGTCGAGGATGGAGAAAACATCCAGGTACTTACATAAGAGGGAAAGATAGTGTGTGCGTGTGTGTCTGCGTGTGTGTCTGTGTGTGTGTGTGTGTCCAATCAGAGTGCATTATGGATAAGTGCTTCACGCTGCTCGGCTTGTCATACATGATTGCTAATGAGGTTTGTGCCAACGACAGGCTACATCTTTAGCAGTGACCCATATGAATAAAACAACATGAGTCATTTATATTATGTTAAATAAGAAAATCATGCAGACAAGAAACAAGACCCCTTTCCTTCAATATATTTATATAATCCCCGAGTCTTTGAGACGCTACCTTGCCAAAAATATGTGGACACCTAGATGTTACATTGAACATCTCTCTCCATAACCATCATCATTAATCAGCTGCTTTAACAGCCTCCACACCTCTGGATTCAGACTTTCCACCAGATGTTGGAAGAGCTCATTTAATTCCTGAAGTGACCTACATGACGAATGTCGATCCACAGTGATGTAAAAAGTCACATTCATTCTGATATGATATGATATTCGCATATCACACTGCAATTAATCCGACCTGTATCTGATGTGGAAGACTCCCGACAGTTCGCAGACAGATCCTTGCAGGAAAAGTCTTATTAGTCCTTTCAGGGAGGACAGGTAACGTCATTTCTTGGTGGATTGTGGGAAGTAGAGCACCAAGTTTATCAGGTGTAGCAGCTGGCGTTGAAAGTAGGTCTCAAATCAGCATCATGAGATATCATCATGCAGAAGAGGAGAGTGTTGGAGTCTGATCCACAGGAAAATTAAAACAGTATTTACAAATTCAGTCAGAAAGAGACCAAAATGATCAAGTATGGAGTTTACCAATGTTGAGAGAGATTTTTTTACATAATTACTCATCAAACATTAAGATAATCTACAAATATTGCTGTCTGGTTTAGTGTCTAAACTGCAACATTACATCTTTCTCTCAGCTTGAATTGCTCCCATCTGATTCATGTTTTTGAAACTGATGCATCCTCCACACGAAGCTCACCGTCATTTCTTCACTCTAACTTTGTCAACGCACATTAAGCCAGAAAGCTGCCTGTTTCTCTTACGGTGGCGAGTGACTGCCTCCCCTGCAATCAGCTGCAGATTCACCCCAAATGAGTTTCGGGAGTTCTTTGGGGGAGGAGAGGGGAGGAGAGGGAAGGGAGGCACAGCTGCTTCTGCTTCAGACTGATGAGGATGTTCAGTCTGTTTGGATTCAAGGAGATGAACCGATAATTCAAATCGTGTAAATCAAACAAAAAAAAAATGACATGCAGTAAATAGACTGCGGCGATGGCGGCGCCTGATTTAAAGTATGAATAGTGTATGAACTGTGTGCGTGTACGGGGACGGGAATGGAAACATTGAGAATCCTCTCGTTTCTTTTTAAGGTTACTTCAGTATCAACATCAACATCTTATGGCACACAGCAAAGATTACCTGGTAATAGTTCATAGAAAACAGGGCTCACTTTGTTGCCCAAACTGTATCCATGGCAACATTATTCCTCCTGTTTCTTGTTTATTTGCTCACACATGGGACGTCTCTTTCCTTCTTTATATTTTTTCATATATTATTGTTCATTTTCTACGTTTCTATGTTGATTCTTGACTTGCAGTCTTTGGGCCTCACACAAGAAGCGATATATGAACAAAATGTTCTCTTATTTTTGTCCGTATCCACAATTTGTTCTTATTTTGTTAGAACCCGTTGAATCTTTGCTCTTCTCCAACTCTTTTTCATTACTAATATTTCTCTTCTCATTCTATTTTTAATTGTTATGCACCAAGATAACAAAAAACTCATCCTGATTCTGATTGAATTGAACTGTAAAGTTAGACTATCAAGTGCAACACACAAAGAAATCAGTAGCCGAACCTCTTGGAAATCAGACACATTAAATATCAAGTCTGTGACTTTCATTTCCTATTTTTGACTTGATTCAAAAATTAATAATGAAATAATCTTTTTTTTATACATTTCCGATCAAAATGTGGTCTAACTTATAGTAACTGTGTTAGGTTCTGAACGTAAATGGACAATAGCACGTAAATGTGCAAAATGGAGCATAAATGCACAGAGGTTTGGTGTTGGTTGAGTGGGAAAACAGTGTCAAAGCAATGAAAAGTGATCCACTCTTTAGTTCTGATGTGCCGACTGTGGGAAGTGACTATTGAGAAATGCATTAAAAATGATGATGATGAATGATTTGCAGTTAATTTGAGAACCAGCAGCTCTTTGTTGTTCCGTTAGTTTGAAATAACTTCAATAAGATTTCATCTCTGACACACACGAGGTGAATTAATGTGACAGCAGGTCTGGTTGGTGTTGTACCTACGTACGATAAGAAATCCAGGACTGTATGTGTGTGTTGCTGTGAATTACAAATGTTCCCAGTGGACGGACGGCCAGGTTCAGAAGGATGGCTAATGAACTGACAGACCCTGAATCCCCAATGTAATGGAAATCTTTTTCTTCTTCTGCAGAAGGTGCAGCTCTTCCTGTGTTGTTTTTTTTATTTGCCAGATAAGAAGGATAATACCTGCGGGAATAACACTCATTATCGTATGATAATATGTATGCTGTTTGATTTTTTGTCCCCTTTTAATTTTGACTTTCATGAAATCAAGTCCTTCCTGTTGTATTGCATTTACCACTGCAGGTTGGAGATATTTGAAACCAATTCCTAAGACCTGAATCAATTTAAACAGCCCCCCCAATCGCAGTAATATTATCTGAACATCTATTTTACTTCACATGCACATTTATTGGTGTGGTGGACACAGATCAGATTAAACTAACTGACTGTATGCTGGTCTGACCAGAGGCTTTCTTAGGCTTAATTTATTTAAAACATTCATTTTCCCAATATCACTCCACTCAACTTCAAAGTTAAAATTAATTAATTTAAGTTTCATTAAGCATCAAACAGTTTAATTCCATCCCCTGGAGTTTAACTACTGTATGGCAAGTTTCATGTCAGATGGGACATTTCACACTCATACCAGCAGACAACTAACGGTAGTGGATGGAAACGAACAGTAAATTATCATTTTCTTTTGCCAATTTTCTTAAAATTTGGTTCAACTTTGCACTGCATTTGGATGGAAGCCAGGCTACTCAGTTTATAGTTGAATGAGCATGTTGGCTTATTGATAAATTAGAGCAGAGTCATCATTAGTATTTGTGTTTTTCTTGTTTCTTGCTGATATATAGCTGCTTCTAGAGCAATATCCAAATCTCAAGCATAAAAAAATACATTAAAACCTCAGTTTTTCTCTCTATCTGTGCCTTAAAATGCAACCAGCAGCTCTAACAAGCACAATTAGTTGCACCTTCACTGAAGCCTCATCCTCATTTACGCACACAGTAACTGGACCTTTGCTTTTATTATGCGAGGCCACTTTTCTAAAGCCTCACTTGTTCTTTATGTGCGGCTCAGTGACCTGCTGTTTGTGTTTATCTCCTGTCATTAATGTCTCTGTGTTTCCCCTCTCAGATTCAGAGGTGGTGTACAAGAACCGCGACGGACACGTCATCAAGTTTAACTTCGCCTTGAACGAGACCGAAGTCATTCTGAGCAACAGCACGTTTGTAAGCTTTGTTAAACAATTGTTATTCCGTATTAACCCTCATATTAGATTATTTTACTACCATATATTTTGTATCCAGTTGTAGAAAAACAGTGAATTATCTCTTCAGCTTTGTCTTCTACTTAAAAGATAACAGAACAAATAATATCAGAAAATAGTTTTTCTTAGTAGAGAATAAGTGTGGCTGCCATTTCAACCTTTAAGTTTAACATATTTGTCTCTGAGGGGAATTTGTCTTGCAGGCTTGAATGTCCACTACAGAACATAATAAAACACGTGATATAAATGAGTAAAACCTACCACACACTGATTTAAGATAAGACACGATGAACCTTTTGGAAATTCAAATTGCCTCAGCAGCACAGGGGGATGTTTTGTAAAGAACAAAGAAAATATAATGATAAAATCTGAATAATATTTTCAATATACAGAGTAAATTGGATAGAATAAGCATGGTGTGTGGTTTAGAGTCTAAATCAGCGGAGGTAGGAGGTCCTGGGTCCTGTGGCGTTGTGGAGTCTGATGGCTGATGACACAAATGAGCCCCCTGAGCGCTTTAGGGGCCTTTGATGAGTCTGTCCATGGGCAGGATGAGAGGGGTTGTCTATGATGGCTTTCAGCTTCCCTTTCATCCGCTTGTCACTGCCTCCACACTGTCCAGTTCCAGCTTGACTCTGTTTCTCTAATTTGGACTTTGTCTTGACTTGTAGCTTCCATGGCTGAAAAGTAAAGCCAGAAACATGTTTTAGTGAACTGTTTATCTGGAATACGTCATTGTTTCCTGCTACGGACGGCTCAAAACTGCGTAGCCAATGACCGCAGACAGTACAGGTCCTTGGGGTGTCTGTAATCCACTGTACTCTGCACTGTAGAGGTCTAAGAACATTATCCTCACAGTGCTTTGTGGCTTCTCCAGGTGTGTGCGTAAGCTCGGTGAAGTAGGTAGACGATGTCAGCCTGAGGTGCTGTAGACCCAGACACTGCAGACTCTGTTAAAACTGCTAAAATATTGAGGACTTCTTGCTATTTTTACGTGTTTTTGGACAAAAACATAACTTATTAATGTATTGCTCCGATATTAAAGTTACAAAATGATGAAAATAAGATCATTACATTACACCTTTTTAGTAAAACAAAAGAGCTTTAAAGCTCCAAAAGATGATTTTTTTTTTCTGGGGCTCATTAGAGTTATATGCGTAGTATATGTGGGCCTCAGATGGAGTTGGAGCTGCTCTCTTCTTGTCTTGCTGGTGTGATTGGATCCCCAGAGGCTGCAGGAAACATGTCAGAGCTGCCGGCAGCACCTCATCACTCTGTTACCTGCAGAATCACAATATGATAATATTGCTGCTGAGAGGGAGGTTGCTCTGCGGGCGAGCTCGGGGCTGTGAGGTCGCTAAATCTGCTCACCTCGACTCACCTCGGCGCAATCACCAGGAAGAGGGAGATGCAGGTTGAAATAGTGTTTTAGCTAAGCGTGTGCCTGCTTGTGATGCAGTCAAATCCCTTAATAATCAGTAAAAAATCCCCTTTATTGATCGCCTCGTGAACTTGCAAAATGACAAATGAACCTTTACCGTGATAATACGCAGCTTTACTTCCAGGAAGATGAATATATGTCAGTATTTGTAATCTTATTATCCCTTTAAATGCTTTGAATTTCAGAGTAATCCAACCAGGAATGTTTACCAAAGTCAAATTTAGCTGTTTTTCTAATTGCATCATTATAATCCTGCAATTTCATAACACTCATACATCGTAAACCTTTTATTCGTGTCATCCCGGCTTCTCTGTAAAGCACCCTTTTTTTTTTTTTTGGATAAACATGTTTCTGTTCCTGCCTCCCTCTTTCCATTTTGCAGAATTGTTCCACCCTGTTGTAGCTTGCACTTTTAATGGTTGCATAAGGGGATTTGATGAGGATTTGAGTCCCCGTGGTAAGCTTGTCAAACTATGCAACAAAAAATCATAAAAAGCAGAGGTGGCCTCGGAGCTGAAGTCACTGATTTGACCCCCCCAAAATTGCAAATGCCACCAGCTGCAGGATCCAAACTGAACACACCCGCTGCCTGGCTGCACAGCGTCCAACAGTGAGCTCCACTAAAGAAACATTTCTTCATGTATTTGAGTCCAAGGAACCAACCATAATCATATATTTTTTTAAAGTCAGACATAGTTTTTAAGTCGTGTCCAATCATCTCACAACACAACAGCTGAAAAGTGACTCTGGACATTTTGGAAATGTCGTGTATAAAATATCTGTCCACCCCCGTCCTCTCCCAGAAAATGTCAAAACCTGACTCGGCTCCCTCGTGGTTTTATGGCCTTTAGCTGCTTGATTAGTTTTCGCCTGCTGCATTTTTTGTCATTGTCATGGGATGAAAGCCAGAATAATGAGCAATGTTAGCGTAAACCAAAGAGCAATCAGAACCTGTCAAACACAAATCATCTTGTTTTTCTCATGGTTTTTATTTTTTTCTTCTTCTATCCAAACTATCAAATTTGCAAAAGTTTCTATACATTTTGGGTATTTAGCATCATGTAGAATAATTCTAATAATTCTAAATTCTGCTCATTTTTTAGCCACGTTAGCAGCTAAAAGTTCAGTTGGTGCAAAGTATAACCTCACAGAGCTGCTAGCATGGCTTTAAACTCTTGTTTTCTCATGTTTTTACTCACTCCATTGACCTTTTTGTAATACTAATGCCTCGAGTGATGGCGATGTTCAGGTCAGTCGGTCCGTCACATTGGTCCAGACTGAAATATCTCAAGAACTACTGGATGGAAAATATTTTACGTACATTCGTGGACACGAGAAGATGAATCCCACTGCTTCTGATGGTCCCCTGATTTATTTCTTTAGCGCCACCATGAGGTTCACATTTGAGGTTTTGAGTAAAATCTATCCAAACCATTGATTGGGTCGGGATAAAATTTGTGGTTCCATCAGGATTCATTGTAATGAATTTGGTGTCGCTTGAACTTTTTTTGAGACATCTAATGTCTTGCTGATTTTTTAAAAGATAGCCTAATTATGACTTTGTTTGTGTATCTACTTCATCTACTTGTCGCTGCTAAAAGACGAAGAAGATCTTCAATCATTCCGCTGATTTGTTTTCTTTTTCGTTAGGTGGCCTTCAAGGTGGCAAAGTACTCGCTCTCGGCGGATCTGAAGTACGTGCTCTTCGCTTACGATGTCAAACAGGTGAGTTTTTTCAAATTAAAATGCATCTTCGGCCCAAAACAACTCATCAAAAATCACCTGAACATCATTACGTGGAAGAACAAAAAGCCCTTTTCGTGATTTGCGTTCCCTCTCACAGCCGCACAAGCTGTGATTGGGATTGTGGATCATCCTCATTCTCTTTGCCTTTGTTTACCTCTTGGCAGGCTGTCATTTACATTGTGCTCCTGTGCAATACCCAAGGGTGCTGTCACTCATTCACACACACACACACACACACACACACACACACACAAAGCTGGCTGTGTATACCTGCAGCTTTGTGACGTGCTCGTTTTTATTTGTATTTATGCTCCTTTGTTCTCGGAAGAGCACTTTTTGCTATACTTTCTTAAATTGTAATTGAAAGATTAGCTTTGAAGCTTGGATCATTTGGAGCCGGTTCTGGATCGAGCACACAAAAACAGTTGGGGGAAGCACAAATACACACACACACACACACACACACACACACACACACACACTGTCTGAAAACAAATGGCACCTCCTGCACTGAACAGATGTGGAATCATCTGTCGTGTTTCTGTTTGGTTGGCCTTTACGTGTGGTTTTGTGATTCTTGGGCATTTTTTGCTTTGTGTTTCCTACGTGTTTCTTTCTTTCTGTTCTTTGTGTTAACATTCAATCATCCGTCATGAAGCTTTCTTCTCTCCTCAAAGTCAAGGCTTTTGCATTGATTTTTAGATTTGTTTGCAAACAGACTCAGGTTTAGAAACCCAGTGGCAGCTGAAGAACCAGAGGACGTATGTGTGTCCTGCAGTCATAATAAAAACACACATTAGTTTAATGTTAGATTAATGCATGTTTGATACAGAAAAAGATTCAAATGTTTTTCTTTTTAAGAAAGAGACCTTCTGAATATGTAGAAACATTGTTTTTTTAAAGCTTTATTTTTCCTCCACTTCTCTTCTGTGTATTAACGCTTAATTGATTGCACTCCGGTTTTATTTGTTGCCAGGGCAACTTGAAATCCCCTTGAGGTACAAGTAGTTATTTTCTTGCTCTCAATAGAATTTCTTTTAGATAATGCACCACCATGCATGAAGGGAAATCAGCTGTCCAGGAGTCGTACAGCACAGTTCAACCAGCAGTAAAGGAAAGGAGGAGATTGGGAGGGGGGGTAAACATAATCTAGGATTCATACAGATCTGGAACAAGCTGATACAGAATGTACATGATACTGCCAGACAATGTGGAATTAGGCGATTTTTCCCATTTCAAAGCTTCTTTTTGGGAAATAACGGAGGAGCAGTGGATGTTGAAGGTCCAGTGTGTAACATGTAGGAGGATCTATTGGCAGAAATGGGACATCATATTCATAGGTTTGTTTTTATTGGTGCATCATCACCTGAAATTAAGAATTGTGTGTATTTTTGTTACCTTGAAACAGCCCAAAAGCCACCATTTTGTGTTTGTCCTGACGAAGGCCCAAATGAGTCCAAGACCAGGTCTAGTCAAGACCAGGTCCAAAGAGGTTTGAGTTCACACCAAACCAGAGTCAAGACCAACACAGGAAAACAAGGATCCTCTTCTAGACAAACTTACTTACTGTACTTGTGATATTTTTGTGATGCTAGAGAGAGTTTATCTTTTATTTTAAGACGATAATTTTGAACTGTCGTTTGTAATGATCCAAAAACAGTGAAACCACACTGTAGAATCAAATCACTGTTTATTCAGAGTGTATCCTTTTCACTACAAGTCTGAGTACTACAGTACTGGTAAAAACAGGACAGACAAGGTTACACCACTCCAAAACAAGGACAGGAAATAAAACATTTATATATGTATACATAACAAAGCCGTGAGATATTAAAGGCTTTTTAAATCAGTGCAAACTCGAGCGTCTCAGATTGAAGCAAGAAAACCTTTTCTTGACGTTGCCTCGCGGTTTCAGAAGCGGATCAGTGTTTGCATTACGTGATGAGTTGAACTCTCGTTGCAGGTGTACAGATATTCCTACACGGCGTCTTACATCGTTTACAACATCTACACGAGGTGAGCGAGTTAACCTTTTCCCGTCATGTTTGGACGCTCTCCTGGATAAAATCATTTTCAGCACCTGATGCACGCACATGGTGGCATTCAGAAACAGATGGTGGTTGTTGATATTTATATATATATATATATTTGTGTGTGTATCAGGGAGGTATGGGAGCTAAACCCGCCAGAGGTTCACAATGCAGTGCTCCAACATGCAGCTTGGGGAAGACAAGGACAACAGCTGGTAAGGCTGAGTGTGTTTATGTGATCCAGTCTCTCCATCTTCTTCTCTCCTCCCCTCTCCTCCTTTTTATAAATTCATGCAGCTTCGTCCCTCCGGAGGGATTTCATCCACACAATCTGATCTTTTCTTCTCTGGGTTTTTACAGTATAGGCCCTGTTTACATCCACTCTGAGCTGTCTGTCTGTGTTTGTTTTAGTGAGTCTGCTCTGCCACTGACCTAATTTACAGCTGTGAACATTTGTACATTATTACACCCTCTTATACACAGGAGTGAGGACGTCTGCAACACACCAACAGTGTTATTTGAGCCAAGAAAGAATAGGGGACACTTTATTCTACAGGTCCCTTTTATATAATAATTTCCTAGGGAGGATCTGACTGTAATTTTGTAAGAAGGTTCCTGGAAAAGATTGTACTTTGCTACTAATTACAAGAAAAAAGAAGACAGTGTTTAACACATCCAAATGTAATTATAGGCGAAGATACAGCGAGGACTGCTGCACACCCACACAGGTATTTTGTTTGTATTCTCACTAAGACTGAAAACTATGCTGGAAATTGGCAGCAGACAAAAATAGAAAGATTGATTATCGTTTCGAGGAAATGTGTTGCCGCAGTCTGTACAAAGCTTCCCATAAATACACAGGTACACACCCACCTCGAGGAAGACATACAGCACATTTATACACACGTATAACATCTACACATGATGGTTACAGAGGTATTTGTCTGAGCCAGTATCTCCTGTTAGAGGCAGTTGAACAAGGTGGAGAATGGGTTGGATTGTGCTTTTATGGCGCATCAACGGGGGGGCAACACAGCCTCACTCACTCCCAACTCGTCAAATACAGCAGCTTGGTGAGTGGTCCTCCGCTTCATGGTCAAGTTAGCAGCGTCTGGTTACACTTTAAAAATAAAGTTGTGTTAGGTCACAGTTTAAAAACGACTTGGTTAGGATTAGGAAAATGGCGTAAGTTACGTTACATACCTGACGTTACAACAGTTACAGCCGTCTCCTGGGTTCCTGTCCTGTCCTGCGTTTGTTTGAGCCGCCTCCATATGCAGACTTTCTCGCTCTTTATACTACCTCACCTGACTCTGACACTAGAGGGGAAAAGTCATGTTTTGAAGCAGAGGACCACTGACCGAGCAGCAGTATTTGACAACTTGGGAACTTGAGACTGGGGAATACACGACCCCCCATGTAGAGAGGGCTAGGGGTCCAGTCATGATGTTATTTTCATAGTAAATGTTTTATTTGATGTTTGTGAGATCTTTCTTTTGGTAAAGCAGTATGAAAAAAAAGCTGTATTTCAAAAAAACGAATGAAGAGAAATAACTCCCCATGCCGGAGGAAAATGATTTCAGGAGGATATGGGTGAACATGCAGGATGTGTCGGGGCTGATCAAATGCAAATATTAAAACACTGATGGAAGATGGAGAGCAAACACACATATTTCCCTGCGTGGCGAGATAAACCAGCAGCTTTAATGTGAAAAAAACAAAATCTCATCAGAGAGGAAAATCAGAAATAAAAACAGATCGAAGCAGAACTCGCAGCAGCATGTGTGACAGTGTCAATCAATACCTTCATTATCTCCTCTTTCTTTTCAGATCTACATATTTGAGAATAACATCTACTACCAGTCAGATGTGAGGAGTAACTCTCTGAGAATCACCTCCTCTGGGATGGAGGGAGTCATCTTCAACGGACTTGCAGACTGGTTGTATGAAGGTGTGTGTGTGTGTGTGTGTGTGTGTGTGGTGTGTGTGCAGCTCTGCAACAACGCTGTATTTTAGCTTTTATATTTGTGAGGGTTTTCTTGGTGTTTTTTTTAAAGTTTGATTCTGGCTGATTGATTCCAGGGAGAAAACATTTGGTATTCAGATTCAGTGTTTTTCCACCAGCTATATTGCTGTGATGCTGGGATTAAAACAGCATTGTGCAAGGACATAAAATCACATGACCAGTCAAAATAAATAAATTATATGTGAAAGAAAAATATGTTTATTTTAGTGGTTAGTCAAATATTTCTTATGGGGGTGAAGTGCTGGGATTGTTTTTAAAATCCTGGCTCTGCATACACACACTATACTAAACTCCTGTGTAAATGTCATTGTTATATTTTTTCCTTTATTAAAATGCAAAAGTTCTCCTCCACACAATGTTTTTCATCTTCCTACATCTCCCTTATCGATTCTGATTCTTTGTCGATAACACAACTCTGATATGGCTGTCGCAGAGGCAATGCCTTGTGCGTGTGAGGGCAGTTTGAATCCAGCTCGGGAATGGCAGACCCACTAACAAATTAAAACCACACTGTATATATATATCTATCTATATCTATATATAGATAGATATATATATATATGAGTAATCAAGGACCCACGGATTGATACAGGCCTGTATTTACCTGTATTTGATCCCCGTTATTATTGGCAGATTAACAGTGAAGATTGTGAAACCTATCAAATTCAACATTTTCTCGTTGGGTGAACATTCAGCCAATGAAATAATAGCAAAGTTAAATATTCACCATTTTTCCGGGGAGCCCCTGGACTGGAACCCCACTCAAGGTTGAGAACCACTGCTGGAGGGCTGGAGTGAGTTTTGACTCATGACTGTATTTTTAGTAAGTAACAGGTTCGATTAATCTGTTAATAATCTCTTGATAGGCTGAATAAATTCTGGCTTCAAACTCCGGTATGGAAGGGTTTGGGATTGGTTCAGACAGCAGAAGGCAGAGGGAGAAACTTTGCGTGATCAGTGGTGGAGGATGTAGTTTTGCAGCCTCACTTCAGTTGTTTGTCTTTTGTATTAAAAATGCAGCAGAGCAGACTAGACAAACTAAGCAGAATGGCTGTTAAAAATCAACAACAAGCCTCTACGATCCATTAAGTCGCTGTGTAAACAAATTCAGTAATGTGCTGATGGTCTGTGCAGTTTGCATAGAGAGCAGCACAAACACAGGCAGATGGGGAACATTATAGAATCATTTTTGTTTGTAGATTTACTGTGTGCTGTTTGTTTTCTCTTTTTAAATTTGCTTTTACTTTAGATTGTGACCATTTGGCTGATGTTTTGACAGTTAAGGAAAGAGCAGAGTAAACGTGAAGTCCATATTGGCATTGATATGAGCGAGCAGCAACAAGAAAGAAATGATAGTTTGTTGTTTGTTTGTCTTTTTAAAAGTGTTTTCAACCAGTTTTTATTAGATTTAACTTATCATGTAGTGCATTTGACTGCAGGTATCCATGTCTAAACAGCAAAATAAAACCAACACGTGAGCAACACTTGTGTGCTCGGCGACGGCGGACTCCGCCACCAACGCTGAAAACCACTATTGAACTTGAAAGAATATGAACTTCTCTTGCTTTTTATACAAGTTTTGGAGTAAAGGCACGTTTTGGTTTGCAAATCCGAGTGCAAACAGGGGATTTTCAAATGCGAGGGCAGAGTTTTGAGGGGAAAGCATTAAAAATCTGAACATGAAATCAATAAATCATGTTCTCAAACTAAAAGACCACACTCTTGAATACAGATAGAAAAAAAAACATAGACATTGCGTTGATGTTTGTGTGGTTTTCTTCTCAGAGGAGATTCTGCGTTCACACTTGGCTCACTGGTGGTCGCCTGACGGAGAGAAACTGGCGTTCCTCACCATCAACGACACCCTGGTACCCAACATGGTTCTGCCCCAGTTCACTGGCAACACCTACCCCAAAGGACTACAGTACCCATATCCTGTGGTAAATACGTACCTACTAATCCGCTTTAATTTCATACAACACTTATATTTAGTGGTTGAGTTTTCGTTGTGCTCTTTACACTGTTTATTATACTACTATAAGTGACCATGTTCGGGGCTGGATTAAGTGGTCTTTAACCCATTAGATACAGCAGATCAAACGTGGCAGCTTTATACTATTTTACCTTAAGCCCAAGAAATGTATCTGCTTTAGTCTATTTTAATATTTTCTGCCTCTTAAATGTGAAGATTTACTGCTGATTTACTTTTTTTTTTTCATTTTTAAGTCAGAAAAAAACAAACAAGCAATTTGAATTATAATGGATATTTTTCACTATTTCCTTTTTTTACTATCCTGCCCTACAAAATGTATTAAACACAGTCAGACCCAAGGATAATTAGATAATTAGAATATATCTCAAAAATACAGAATAAAACACCAGCAGCATGTAAAAAAGCAGCAGCAGAATACTAATAATTATTCAATAAATAAAATATAAGTAAGTGATTTCCTACATCTGAAATATTAAAGGGCTCCTTTACAAGATTAGGTTAAAATGCAGGACCTGTCTTTATCATCTCAGTTTATATTGTGCTTTAGAAGCACATATTCCCAAACAAATGGACCAAATTAACACAAGCTAATGAATGTACAATGATTATGTGGCCTTTAGGGGTCATTAAGGGACTGGAGCCCTGCTGCAGTTACCCACATTGCCTCTTCTGGCTCAGTCTTTTAGGTTTCACAGTGTCTTAAAATCATATAATTCTCAAAACAATTGAAGCAGATAAACTAACTTTACTAAATATAAAGCAGATTGAAGGTTTGAAGAAAATGGCATTAAAGCTGCAGTAGGTGCATTTTATAAAAATAACTTTCACTATATCCAGACAGCAGTATATGAGACTGATAATCTGTGAAAAAATCTGGTTCCTCCGGCCTATTCCAGTGCTCCTAATGGCATTTGCAAGAATCCACCTTGCCCAAATGGTTGATTGTTGAGTCAGTATTTGACGACCTGTGAATGAGACTCAACAATCAACTATAATATTAAATAACTAAATATGACAAAAAGTTTTTTTTATGAAAGTTACCTACTGCAGCTTTAAGTGAAGTGGCTTCAAACAACTCTTAATTACTTCTGCAGCATCTGAATGTATAAAATGTGCCAAAACTAAATGTGTACTGGAGGACTTGCTTCCTGAAATACCCTGAAGGTCATTTCAGCAACACACAGCAGAATGCAGAGTCGAGTTTATTCAGCGCGGTGCTGTGTGGATTATCAGCTTCACTAATGGATGGCAGGTCAGGACTTTCCTCTGTGGTTTCGAAGAGAAAACTAAACCATCCTCCTGCCACTGAGGAAGAAAACAGATGCTTTTCAGGAAACTTCTTTTATCTGCTCTATTATTAACGTTCCTGGAAGCAGGGGTGGACTCAGGCTGTTTGAGGGGCAGGGCCGGAAAAATAAAAAGGGCACCAGCTTTTTATTGTGTTTTGTCTGCTGGGAGGGAACCCTAGAGGGCACTTTATCACATTTTATCTACCATATGAGCATCCAAGAGGGCACTTTTCGAACATAAGGGCACCAGGGGGAGCAGTGTTTCTGTGTCCTGTTGAACATCTGCGCAGCTGTTTAAGTTGAAATCATGACACAAAAACCAGAAGAAGTAAGAGGGGAAGCACCTTGAGTGGTTTAGTTCTCGTCATGTATGTTTTAGTCCAACAATTTACACAGGTTGTGGCTTTTTAAAACTTTTTAAAGGGGTTCAACACTAAGACAAAAGATTATACACTACAAAATATTCTCATGAAAACCACTGAGGTCCTGTTTGTCCTCCTCGTTTTAAAAAAGTTCCACCATTCATACAAAGATGCTGAGAACACGATCCTCAAGCACACGAATCCGGGTCATGCCGGGCCAGTAGGTGGTTTGTTTTTTAGTTTTTATTATTTATGTCTTGTCCAAAAAACTTCTTTTTGGTTGCCCTCCGTCGCCGTAGAGATGGATGGAGTATGTGACCGATAATAATGATAATACACTTTATTTATAAAGCGCCTTTTCAGAAGAGTTACAAGGTGCTGTTACAGTGCAAACATTAGAAAGTGAAAACAGGAATAACAATATGAAAACTTTAAAGGTGAAACTGTCAATAACAGGCTCCGTCGCCTCTGGTTTTAAGCCTTTGGGGTTTGAGTCAGTGGACCTTGCAGTACAAACACAGCTCGATAATCCGCCTTTGTTGTTGTTGTTGTTGTTGTTGTTGTTGTTCTGTTGTGCACGGTGATTTTGGCTGAATGTATATCATATGTTACAATAACTGATAACTCTAATCTTCCACCTTCAGGCCGGTCAGACGAACCCTGCCGTCAGGTTGTCGGTGGTCAACCTGTTCGGAGCGACGCACACTCAGGAGCTGCAGCCTCCGGATCAGCTCAGGCTCAGGTGACACACACCCACACACACACATATAAATAAATATAGCAGTGGCACACACACACACACACACACACACACGCACACAGGCACACACAGGCACAAAATCCTCAGTCTGATTCTCCCCTGCAGGGATTTCTATGTCACCATGGTGAAGTGGATCAGTAATACTCACCTCGCAGTGCGGTGGCTCAACCGGCCCCAGAATGCTTCACTGCTGACGGTGTGTGACGCCACCATAGGACTGTGTCTTCAGGTGGGTGTCAGAGATTAGAATGAGATACTAGTAAGTAACTAAGTATATTAACTCAAGTACTGTACTACAGTTGAGGAATTGTAGGTAACGAATATTAAGCTACTTTCTACATCTGGTAAATACTTTTTACTCCACTACAGTTACTAGTTACTTGACTGTATTTGTACACAGTAAACCAAAATCCAATAGTATACAGTACAGTATATAACATGGACCCTGCTTTTAATTGAAGTTCTACAGTAATGTATTAAAGATATGACGTTTATAGGAAGTGTTCAAGGTAAAGTTTTACCCATCAACTGTCATGTGATTGTCTTTCTAAATCAGGTGATTGCATATAACTTATGTGTATGTATGTATCTCTCTCTGGAAAACAACTGTGTTTCTACAAACTGAATCTCTAACTCTTATGTATGACAACAACATACAAGACTAAATAACTGAATAACTTATATAGCACATGCTTTCTTCTCTCTAATTCAGAGACACGAGGACTCCTCAGACTCATGGCTCTCCAGACAGGTAAACCTGAATACATTTCTCATAACAGTATTCAGCAACAAAAACACTCTAGTTATATACTGTATTATCCTCAAAGCAAATATGTGTTGCATTATTGAGGAGGGATTGCAGCGGAAGTCATGCATGCATAAAGGACGTCACCTCTGAGGTCTGTGTTTGTCTCTGCAGGGACAGGAGCCGCTGTTCTCCAAGGACAGGAGCAGGTTTTTCCTCACTCTGCCCGTGAAACAAGGAGGTCAGGGAGATTTTCACCACATCACAATGTTCACCAGAAAGGTGACTCTTCTGCCTCTTTACCCTCCGCATCCCATCTCTTTTCTTTAGCTCTGATTGGTTTCCTCTCTGTGCAGGAAAAAGGTTATTTTAGCGTCTTGTGTTTTCAATCCTCCGAACCGATTTTCTTTCAGTTGCGAAGCGAGCAGGACGAAGTTCGACACTTGACGTCAGGAGACTGGGAGGTGACCAAACTCGTAGCTTATGATGAAAACAACCAGATCGTGTATGTACAAGTTTTGCTTCTCAGATCGAATAAAAAGCAAAAAGCACCTAAAATTAAATGGAAATTGATATAAAGATAGTAATGATTGTGTTACTTACTTCAACTACTTACTTATTTAGTTCATATTGTGTTGTACTTGTTGCAGCATCCATATGTTTTGTAGTTTCTGTCTTATTAAAACGTTTCTGCACCATTACTACAAATTCAGCTCCATTCTGTAGAAGAAAAGAAGCAGACGACGGTTCTATGTTTGAAAACATCTATTGTCTGACACGCTTAGTGAGCCGCAGGGTTCACGATTGTATAAATCTGTATTTATGGTCGGTCAACCATAATGTGCTCTGACTTGTGCAGGCAGATCTATAATGGATCCATGACCTTGTCCTACTTTAGCTGCTCTGCTTTCCTCCACACAGATACTTTCTGAGCACAGAGGACTCAGCCCAACAGAGACATCTATACAGGTAAAATATCTCTGCTGCTCAATAAATGTTTGTTTTTTTCACAGTTTTTCTAACGTTTATGTCATTTTCCAGCATTATGTGTGACGCACGTTGTTCAGTAAACATGTTGTCTCCTTTCATTCACAGTGTGTCCACACTCGGCCTGTTTCCACGGCGATGCCTCACCTGTGGTCTGAAGGAGGAGTGTTCGTTCTTTGACGCCGACGTCGGCCCCGATGCACGGCACGCCATCCTGCACTGTAAAGGTCAGAGACAGTCAAAGAAATTGATGTAATGTGAGGTTTACTACATTAAAATCAATCTAGCAAATTATTTATGATAATAAGAAATATACAGTAGATTAAATTACTTGCAACAAAATGCAGTTGGAGTGGCTTCAACTGGAAAATGAAAGTTACTTATCAATCAATCAGTCAAACTTTATTGGTATAGCATCTTTCATACAGTTCAAAGTGCTTAACAAACGATTCACAGACAATAATAAGACAGAATGGAGCTCAATAAGGTAGATTTAATAACAGAATATAATGATAAAATGACAATAAAATAAAGTACAATTAAATTTTACTGGTATAACGATAGTATTTAATAAAAGCTGTACTAAACACTAAATAAAATAAGCCTCTTAACCACCTCTGAAAAGTCAGCAATTTAGCTTTAAATATAAAATTCATGAAAACAATATTTTTTCCCATCGCAGGTCCTGGAGTTCCAGCTGTGCTGCTTCTTTGTTTTGATGACGTGGACTGTGAGTAGTCGCTACTATTTTTTGTGTTTCTGTGTTATGTTTGTGTGGGCGGACAGATGTTCCCTGAAATGGAAAATAGTTTGCAGCGATTAAGCATCATCATCTCATTCGTGTGAAAACACCAGCAGCTGTTGGGATTTGACGCCGTGCCAAACTTCACTGGCAATTAGTACATTTCAAGATGTTTGTGCTTCACACTTCAAATGGCCACTATTCATCTCCACAATTGGGTTGTTTTTTTTAAGATGGCTAATAGTCAGGTTATAAAGGGAAGTGATGCACAACGATACTCAGCTGCAAAGGGAACTTCAGACATTGAAAAGTGTGTTATTTCTTCATGGTACATGTGCAGTATAGGAAGCCTGCCTACTATGTGGATTAGTGGTTATAAAATAAAAATGCATTCCTATAGATAAAGTGCTGAATATTTTATATGAGCTCTTCTTTATGTCTGCATGACCTGTTCACCTTTACTTCTATACCGAGAGGAAACGTGACTATATGAGAAGAAATCTCTTTAGATACTTTGCTGATAAAGTATAAAGGATACATACAGGACAACTGGGAATTAAAGGTACAGCTCAACGCTCAATGCTCACAGTGCCCGTGTTTTAGTCTGCATGTGTATTTACAGCAGAGAGAGTATAGAGTATGGAGTAAATATAAAAGAAATCCTTCAGTAGATCTTTAAAGATTGTCTTTTTGACCTTTTTTTGGTGAAAAATCCAGTTCAACTTCAATACTATTGTATATAATAATAATAATATAATGTAATATCTTTTTTTTTATCTGGTTTAGCGGCGGTTCTTTGGTTTTAAACCTTTTTCCTTTAGGGACCTTTCTGTCACTAAGTAAAATAATATTTTATGGATAATAACAATACACAACAACTAATAAACTGCACAATTAACAACAGTTTGCAAGTTTGTGCAAAACGAGCAATTTGGATGAATTTGAACTTTTCCTCAGCTGTGGCTCAGGTGGTAGAGCTCGTCGTTCACTAATTCGATCCCCAGCTCCTCCCGCTGCACGTCAAAGTGTCCTTGAGCAAGATACTGATCCCCAATCTGCTCCTGATGCTGTGCATTGGTGCATTAATGAGTTAGGTTTGTGATAAGCCTTTGCCATCAGTGTGTGAAGGGGTTAATGTGGCATGTAAAAACACTTTGAGTGGTCGGAAGACTAGAAAGGTGCTATTTAAGTACAGTCCATTTACCTTGTATTGCAGGATGAGGCTGTTGAGCAGAGAGTGGAGGCCAATATGAGATGTCTTTATATATATATATATATATATATATATATATATATATTTTTGTGGGCTTCTTGCCTTTATTTGACAGCATCATTTAGTTCACAGAAATGAAATTAAGGGGAGGAAAACTTTTCTCTGGGGCTAAAGTGTTCCCTGTATTAGAGTCCTCACAACTCTATGGAGTTAATTAGACTAATAACCAATCAATAACACATAAAATAGTAGTAAGAGCCCTTGAAACCCACCAAACCAATTAAAATGACAGTATTTAGGTAAATGCCTGTGTACAGATCTTTAACGAAAAGACTCCTGTATGTGTCGTCTACTTAAGGTACTGCTTGATCTTTCTGTTTAATTTGAAATAAATAGATACGAGCTCATTCTACTCTGATAAACATGATTTCTCATTTCACAGCGTATTTCATCCTGGAGAACAACCTCCCTCTGCGGTCTGCGCTGGAGACTAAAAAGACGATCCAGACGGAAATACGGATGATTACTAATGACAACTTTGGTACAAATTATCTGTACTTAACAGCTCTCTCTCTCTCTCTGTGTGTGTGTGTGTGTGTGTGTATTTGTGTGTATTGATTTGCACACATGACACGTCTTCATGAGATAATTGAGCTATTTATGAATGGCAGGAGTGTTCTTCCTGTTTGTGTGTCCTCTGGTTCCCCCTCCTTCAGCTATAATGCTTCTGTCTCCTCCTCACAGAGCTGCCTCTGAAGCTCATCTATCCTCCTGACTTCTCTGAGTCTTACCTCTACGGCCTCCTCCTTATTGTGTAAGCTACTTTATTCCAGTTACATTTGTATGTTTTGAGCTTCAAAGAACAGTGAGGACAGCTTCCCTGAGGACAGGCTATCAAATACATTTGACAAATACAGGCTTAATAAAAAGGGATGTTAGAGAACAAAGTGTAAATTTAGCTACAGTTTTAATGTCCTAGAATCATTTTTGTATGTACAAGAAAGTGATAAAAGTGCTTCTCAAGCTCAAGTTAAAACTGTTATTATATAGAAAACAGCATATTAGCATCATAGCATTTTATATTGCCTTACATGTTTAAATTAGCAGTGCTGCTACATATTAACAGCATGCATTTAATTCGCTAGAAGCACTAGTAACATATTACTGTCACTAAACTAACCTCAAAATTGTACTTTAAAGGTCCAGTGTGTAGATGCAGATTGCAACTCACTCGCTTCACCCTCCCTTTCCAAATGCGAGACTTGTATTAAGCTGCATACTGACGTCACAAATCATGCTGGTAGCCCCTCGAAGAAACACTGATTTGTGACTTGAGGAGGGAATTAAATTAAGTTAACAAGCATAAATACAGTAAGAAATAAAACACTGTGTATGTGGCGGTTCTGTCCTCACAGCGGCAGTTCTCCGGGCGACCAGGCTGTGACGGAAGAGTTCAGGCCGGACTGGGAATGGGTGCTGGCGGGATCGGAGCAGATCATCGTAGCGCGACTCGACGGCAGAGGTTCGGGGTTCAGAGGTCAAAGGTACATAGAAAACCCCAAACACTCCAGAGCTTCTAGTCGCATCTACTGATCTCTGACCCTTTGTGTTTATCTCCGTCTCTTCACAGGGTTTTACAGCAGGTCCATCAGGGGCTCGGCACGGTGGACGCAGAGGACCAGATAGCAGCTCTGGAGTGCGTAACACATTTTGTCCAGTCTGGGTGCATAATTTTAAGTTCGGTACTGTGTCCGTATCTATTTCTATTCATGTGGAAAAGCTTTGAAGGTGCTTTTCTTTGAGGAAAGATTTTAAAATGTCAGAGACGCCTTTTCTCAAATAGTCTGAAGGAGGGTTTCAGTAATGCAGCAGGCAGCAACATCCTGTGTTTGAGCTGAACTCATCATAAATGGATAAAAGAAACCAGGTCCAGTGTGTTGGATTTAGTGGTACCAAGCGGTGTAGTTGCTGATTGCAACTCCCTCGCTTTATCCTCAGCCTTCATCTTTCTTTTATATGATTTTTTTTTGCGTTTTTATCTATATTTAATCTGGAAAGCACTTTGTTAGCATTTAACTCAGCTGTGCTTAAAATTTGGAAAATGCTGTATTATTATGTTGTCTTTTTTTATCTGTACTTTTTATGGTTTTCTCATTTACTTTCCTCTCTCATATGATCAGTGGGAGCAGCACAGCGGTAATGTCGGTATCACCCTGTGGCTGTGACCTTTGCCCTCCTTACTGTTGGTCACTTAATAGTCTGTGAATTGAAACCTCTCAGTCACTTTGCATCAGAGCTTCAGCTGAGCGTGTGAAATTCTATGTAAAAGTATTATTTGTGACGCTTTCAGATGCAGAAGTCCTCTTGTTATTTGGTTGTTTCCTCTGTGTGCCTCAGGTACCTGACGAAGCTGCCGTTCGTTGATCGCACTCGAGTCGGGGTCTTCGGAGAGGTTTGTCTGTCTTACTGTAAATGAAACAAAGCTGATTCATCTTTTTCGGCTGTGTGGTTGAAATACTCAGTGAGGCTCACTTAAGTTGTGATAACTCGTTAACGTACAAGAGATCATTTATGAGGACACTCATAGGACATAGGAACTTTAAAAAGTGCAAAAAAACCCTAAAATGTAGGAATATTCATTATTTTTTGGATTATTAATGATAAAACACAAATAAATATGCATTATTGTGCATCCAGGTGGTCTTTGGAGTCTTTGAGAATTCTGAAAATATTATATTTATTATTCAGAAAAATGAATACTTGGTATAGTGACTTCAATTTGACTTCAGATAACACATGAGGGTTACAAACTGGAGCTAATGGTAGCTGTACTATCGTCTGCAGCCGGTTGGATTAATCAGTTCCCACAGCCTCACTCATTAGTCGACAAATTGAACTCGTATTATATGAAAAAGGACTATTGAAGCAGTGATCACAAATGTGGATAATGTGCTTACATGTCCCAGTGTCCCAGTTTTTTTCTCCAGCTTAGTGTTTCACTCCATACTCCAATCAGGGGAGTTTCCAGATGTTGGGTAGGCCTGGCCACCCCTAATGCCACCCCATTGTCCTTACCTCTTCCACTTACAGAGGTTGGAGCGGGCTCTGTTTTTTAAAGCTAGGGTGAAGTTTGTGTCATACCAATTAGATCCCCTAATGCATCCATTGGGATCAGCCATGATGTGCCAGCATGTTGGGAAGGGGGCTCAATAACGCTCCTAAATTAGGGTAAAGAAACTGGTAGAGAAACTGCATGGCCATTTTTAAAGGATCCCTTTGACATGGTATACATTTTAGCCTATATTTCTGCAGACTGGGATCCATATACAGTGTTGAGTTGCATAAATTGGGAATGACTGGAAAGCTGGGACATATACTTCATCCACTGAATAAGTCAGTACCTCACTTGTGTCCCCCCCAGCTAATAAAGTCTGGAAACATCCAGTAACTTAGATATTAGAGTGTAAACACACTTCATGTTTTCAGCTGTAAAGGAGGCATACAGTATGTAATTAATCTGCCAACACCTTTTATAAATAAAGTGTTTTTCTACTGACTCTGAAGGTGCTAAAACCATTTTCTTTATAGGTTAAAGGTTCATAGAAAATACTAGCAGAATACTGAACAAACACCTGCATGACAAATATTGTACGTGCAAGTTCTTAATTCATTTCTGTCCTTTTTTTCTGCTTTGCTATCCTCTAAATCCGAGCGTATTTTCCTCCATCAGGACTACGGAGGCTACCTCACCCTGATTATGCTGAAGTCGACAGAGAAGCTGATCAGATGTGCTGCGGCTCAGGCTCCTATCGTTGACTGGTCCATGTACGGTGAGCAAAGAGTTAAATCACTTCATATGTTCCCTCTCCTTCAATGCACTCTGCAGGGATGTGACGATATTTATTACTTCTGCCTCTGCTCCGCCGCCAACTCTCGTCATTTCTTCATCCAGGACGTCTTTATCCTACGTGGTGTATTGTCTGGGTAATGTGACTTTAATTATCCTCAGGTTCTGCTTCCGGGAATTCGGTCTTATTAAATTTTAGGATGAAAAGCTTCCTTCATTTCTCGGAGCGTCGCCTGAGTATTAGAGCTACTGTACAGCCGAGGAGATACAGCTGTATGTGATTATAGTTTAATAGACTGAAGAGTGTCTGTAAATCTTCTGGTTCCTGTGTTTCTAATAAGTGCAGGCAGAGCAGAGGAAGGAGTTTTAAACACACTGTGCATATGGGTTTCTCTTATCTTACTGTAACACATGTCGAATCTCTGTTAAAGATCCTAAACCAACATACTAACATCTTTTCTTTGTGCTTCCAGCCTCCGCGTTCTCGGAGAGATACCTCGGCTCACCTTCAACCGAGGAGAGCAAATACCAAGTGAGCTGCTTTTACCAGTCGTCCATCTGTTGCTGGGCTTGTTTTTATTTATCTTTATGTCTCTAATCGCATCTTTTCCAGCAGCTGGATGTATAAATCTGTAATAAAACCCCTAATTGAAAAAAATCAACCAGAAATATTACACAAATAACTTAATATCCCACAACAAATCTGTTCATTACCCGTCTCTCTGTTTCCTCCTGCCCTTGTCTCACCACTCGGGGCTAACTACTCTGTTACAAGGTTTAATAACATTATAAATACATATAAAGAGATATTAAGTTGAATAAAGTTTGAAAACTTTTTAGAAGCACGCAGTTTTTGAGCCCCCAGGATTCATGGCTCTCAGTCCTCTGCCACATATTTTCATCTCATCCTAATTAAGCCTTTAAACTAATTAACTTTAATCCAATCAATGTATCTGCGACAGTGTAAGGACTATTATGAGAAGCCTTGGAATAACAGTTGAATTATGTCTATTAATTTAGCCTTTTGAGTCATTAATTTACTAATTTAAATGTAGCAGTTGAACGTAACCAAGTACATTTACTCTTTAACCATTACATTACATTGGGAAATATTGTACTTTTTTATCCACTGCATTTATTTGACAGCTTTACTTATGAGTTACAGTACTATTCTACCAATCTACGTAGTACTGAAGTATCTAAAACTGTCTCTAAAATATAAAATGTTCTTTATTTGTTAGTGATAAAAACCGAGTAATATAGTATTCTATAATCATATAACATTCTGCCTAATAATTGATACATTAAGTACATTTTGCTGATATTGCTGCTGTACTTGAATAACACTGAATGTTATGAAACTAAATTTAAATAAATGTAATACTGATGCATGGAAACACAACCGTTTTTGTCCACAGGGGGCGCCAGAATCAACACAAAATGAAAGTTCATTGTTGCTGCTTTAAGTAACGTTTTAAATTCAGGTATTTTACTTGTAATGGAGTATTTTTAGACAACAGTATTTCTGGTTTTACCACTGAGGAACATCAGAGGGGTACGATTATAATCTGATCCACCATAGTTAATAACGCGTTAAAAAGTGGAAATTAATTAATAATTTAATGCTCTGTTGTGGTCACATTTGGGTTCAATGAAAAAATATATAATAATTAAAGAGTTTTTTAATTTCTATTTCCACATTTAGATATTTCTATTAGTTATAATATGCCAAAAATAATGTTTTTGAGTGAAAATAACCTTATTTGGGGGCTTTTCCAAGCAAATATATGTGATTATGTGTGATTAAATCAGCATATATCGTGCCTCTAGATCTGCTCCTGGCTGTCAGACAAATATAGGAGAGTAAAAAGTACAATTTAGCTCTGACATGTAGAGGAGTAAAAAGGAAACACCTCAAATGTGTATTTAAGTAAGTGCTCCTCAGGTTTATCTTGTGACCTTGTGGAGGTGACCCAACCCACATGTTGGGAACCGCTGCCTTAGAGAAAACATCAGAGAAACTACTCTGCTCTGTATGTTTGGTCTTGAGGCAACATAATTATTAGAAAATCGATTTCTAAAATCAATTTTACTTGCACTGACTTTAATGGAGCCACAACTAAGAGGCTGCAAGTGTACGTCTTAAATATTAAAAACAGATTCTCCCTTACTCCGGAAAAAGATTCCTTAAAAAATAATGTTGAGTAGTGCTCACACAGCTTTGTACAGCAGGCCCCACACAACGTTGGTTCCCTTCACAAACAAAACAGTCCCCGTCTGTTTAAAATTAAAAATTAAAAAACGTGGCCACAAGCTTTTGAGGCGAAGAGGGGGAAAATAACACACAAACATTAGAGAAATAGGAGAATGCCAGAGGTGTAGGCTGAAAAAGAAATTACACAATTGTCCTCTAAGTGAAGGTTGCAGTCAAAGTGTGTTTTTCCTCCTAAGTGGGTTGCCTTTAACTGGGCCAGAGCACGCTATTTTTGTGACTCTCGCAGCGGGAGGTGGGGGTCTGCTTTAAACGACGGCGAAAGAAGGAGGGAGAATGTGGCACAATGTGATCAGACAATAATCAGAGGGACATAATCACTCACACTGTCCTCTGAGACTGAAAGGGAAGCAAATGGGCAAATAAAACGTCCGGTTGTTGATGTGCGCTGACTGACGAGTCGGGAAGTCTTCCTGTTTTAATCCCCAGCTGGGAAAAAAAACTAAATGATGAGATTGAGATATTGAGATATCCTCGAATATAGCAGCCACCAACCACGCTCCCCTGAGCAATACGACTAAATGCAATCAGAAAATACTATTAAAGATATTTTTTCTCTGCAAAGGTTCATTTATTTAAGCTGCGTCGCATTATAAAAGCCAAGTTGCTTTCAAAATATCCCTTTGTGATTCAAAAAACAGAGCTTTAGAGGTGCTGGTAGGTGCATTTTGTTACCTGTGGACAGAGCTAGGCTATCTGTTTCCCCCTGTTTCCAGTCTTAATGCTGAGCTAAGCCTCATACAGACACGAGAACGGTGTCAACCTCCTCATCTAACTCACTGCAAGAAACATAATGAATGTTGAACTATTCCTTTTGAGAGTTTTTACACATAAAACATGTGATAGGGTTATAAAAATACAATGTATTGATAAGGAATTTGTGTTTCCAGGCGTCCAAAGTCCTGCTCAACATGAAAAGTCTGCAGGGAGGAACTCTGTTTCTGGCTCACGGCACTGCTGACGGTACGCACGTTTCCTCTCTTCCTTCCCTTCATAAGCTTTTATTGCAAACCAACATATAAGACTTCATTTTCACAGAAAGCTGTAATGTGTGTTATTACGGGAAGTCTTTTCAGGTCGTCTTTTGAAACGAGAAATGAATTAACCCCCGTTGACCCGTATTTGCATGTCTTGTTTTTTCTCCACAGCAAACGTTCACTTTCAGCACTCGGCAGAGCTCATCAAACACTTAATAAAGATCGGAGCCAATTACACTATGCAGGTAGGCAAAATATTTTTAATAGAATTTAAACTGGAGACAAAATAAACAACATATTGGCTTCTGCAACACTATTATATATGAGATATATAAATAAGCTGGGAGTTGGTGAGCTTTAAGAGCTTATTATATTATACAGAAACAATGACTGGAAAATGTTTGTCCCACTCAGAAATGAAGAATTAATCTCTAATGTTTGAGCATTTTGTAGCTCAGACTACAATCTGTTTAAAAGCAGTATATGAAATGTCTCTGTTTAGCTGATTTTCAGACTTGTCTCTGATCTCGGATCAATTTGCTTCTGTCCTCGGCTCAAAAACACACGCTTATCAAACCAAAAAAAGTAATAAATAAATAAGTTAGATGTCTTTGTGACAGAAAAGTTGACATTTAGAGACTTTCCTCGTGACGGGAACAAAGAAATCCAACATAAATCTCCACTCGGGGTCCGCTTCACTTGCTTGTTTTTGAGCTTTCGACCGTATCACATGGCCTTCCTCTGCAAGTAAAGTGCCCTCAGTCCTAGAACTGTAGTTACTTAGACATTTTGTAACTTGAATGTCAACAGCTAAATGACAATTGAGCAAACCTCACACGCTGATGAAGACAAGAACAAGTAAGTAAGTGGACCTTGAGTGGAGTTACGGCCAAATATAAACTCAATATGGGAATCCTCCATATTTCCAGCTGCTTTGCTTTGTCTGACCTTGTGTGTTTCTGTATCTTCTTTACTCGTGCATCCCTCGTGTTTTTTGGGACAGATCTACCCGGACGAGGGACACTTCCTGTCGAGGCGCAGCCGGATTCAGCTGACTCACTCCCTAATTGGTTATTTCAGAGGATGTCTGCTTGACACGTCGTCATTACTCGACCAACAACAACGGGACGACGAGTGAGAGAGGGAACGTGGTCATAGCTGGACCGTGTTGTTGCCCCTGGTAGAATGAGTGTGTGTGTGTGTGTGTGTGTTTTTATATGTAGCACAACGTTTGATGGACAAAACAAGCTTCTTCTCAACACATCAGATATAGTTTCTATGGCTCATCGCCTCAGTAGAACGATGCTCCTACAGTCAGCACTGTTGATGCAGTGTTCACCTGTAGAACGGAGAAAATGCAAAGCAAAATGTGGAGGAGGAGGAGGAGGAAGAGGAGGAGGTGTCTTTGATAACCATGCACAGTCTCCGTTACATGATGGTGAAATTAGCACAAATCCTGCAACACAGGGTTAAAAAACTGTATTTCTCTACAGCATTTAATAAGCAACAATCGTGAAGTTCGGACAAAAACAAAATATCTCAATTATCAATCAGTTCAGCTTTATTTGTACAACACCTTTCATGGTTTATCTTTATACAGTTACATATACAGCGCTGCTTGAAAGTATGTGAACCTCCTGAGCATTTTTCTATCGTTTTACCATTATAAACATTTTGTTGTCAACTTTCGTAGGGGCAAAAGTCTGCGAACCCGGAGCTGCGTTGCTTAAAACAAGCAGGTTAACACAATCAGCTGGTTCAGAACTGATGACATTGGGCAGCACTGATCGGAACCGATCAATAGCAGGTCAGTTTAGTCTAATGACTATAATGAACCCATAGAGACATGCTGGGAGTAGAGCTGCACAGTTAATCACAGTCAGTGTAATATCCAACAGCAGCTGCATTAGTTACAGATGCAATGTGACAAACAGCTTTATAATGAAGGACTGTAGAGCTGCACACACTAATCGTGAATCATATCGCAATATCTGCTGAAATAGTTGTGACCATATCGTGCAGCGCTAGCCGTGTATACTGTACATATCAGAGGAGGTCTGGGGAGAGCTTTACTCTATGAGGAAGACTCCCGGTTCACAAACCTTCGAGCAGCACTGTAGAACTTCTGAGGATGGACAACAAGGAGAATACATAAGGGAGGGAAGGGATGAGCAAATAAAGACGAACCATCATCAGATTCAAATGTTGCTAAATCCTATCCTGTCCCATGTCAAAATGTCGACATTATTGATCGGAAGATCTGCAGCTGGAAAACATCTGTTTTAAAAAGTAACAAAACATGACAAAGTCTGACGTTAAGGACATGTTTGTGGCATCGTGTTTTTCTCTTCTGCCTCCAGGAAAACTTGTTTGTCACATCAAGTGTTGTATATATTTATGTGGGTGCGGCTTTCCTGTTTTCTAAATATGGTTGCGGGTCTGTTATTTAATTAGACTGCAATAGTGCTAAACAGATGTACAGTACTTTACAGTTATAGGATCGTTTTTTTTTATTGTCTCCTTGTCGGTGTCAGTGTTTGAAATGAGATTTATTTATTTATTTATAAAAGTAGATATTTATCATTTCACACCAACTTTTTTGACAGATAATTAAACGGTGGGGGGGTTAAAGGGGCAATAAGGGATTTTGTTTGTTGTCGTTTTAGAGCATCTATCTGCAGTAGCTTAAAGAGATTGTAGATAAACTTACTTCTCTTAGTGTCTACGTGTTTCTGGTGTAAAACTCGTCTTAACACAAATCAGCAGCAGTTTCGGAGCTGATGATTTACTGTCATTTCTGCTGTAATGGACACAAATGTCACTTTATGTTCTGATAGCTGCAGGCTGCTGTTTGCTGCTTCATTTTATATGTTTTTATACTTTCTACTTGTCGTCAAATCGGCTTTTAAACCACCTAATGTTCCTTTAAATCTTTGCATGACAAAAACCTGTCCTAATTTATTAATTCACCTTCGTTTAAAACTGCTGTTCCGGATTTCAAGTGCAATTTGGTTTTGACTTGGCAGCCGAGTTTGTGCTTAAGAAACGTACTCCCGGGTTATAGACTTACCCATAAAGCATTGCAATAAAATACATCATCAAGTGTTATGGGAACACAGTGCCTGAGAGCGCTCCCTCACTGTGATTATGGGTACAAGAATGATTCAGACAATTACTGTCGACCGCACACAAGAGCCATTAATCACAGTGATGAACGTCCTCGACGCCGCTGTAGCTTTTAGACGAGAGTGCAATCTCCATACTGCTATTAACACGTGAGGGTGAAAACATGACACAAACACAATCTGAAGTTGTGATAGTCCCCCCCCCCTTTAAAAAAACCATGCATGGCTACTGGTTGCCATGCCAACGTGTTTGGTAGCCTTGGATACAGCCTCTCTAATAATTCATTCAAAAAAATGAAACACGGAGCGGCTGCTTGATGCAACATCTTCAAAGTCGTGCGTACGTTGCTCAGTGCTCACAAACAGCCACCTGCTGAACCGTCCCACTGTCTGTCAGCGTCCGTCCCTTTCAAAGAAACTCTGTGAAGTCATGCTTATTGTTTCTATTGGGGTTTGTACTGTGAGTTTAACTTGGTTTTCCTTTTCTTCTGGGGTGGGTGGGAGATTGTGGGTGAGGGATGAGTTAAAAAATAAAAATAAAAGCTTATTGTATTTTTTGGCTGTTTTAATATTAAAGAACAATGAATTAAACTTTTTTGAGGTGGTTTTTCTTTTGCTTCTTGAAGTGGTGGAAGAGGTGCTCTGGTCCTTTAGTTAAAGGTATAATGTGTAACATTTTACACATTCAGGTCATAAGGCGTTCTTGATCTTAAGGGGAGTAACAAAAATATACACGTTATATACCTCTCAACATTTTGTTCATTTCTGTGAAGCAAACTGAATTAAATTGCTATTTTTCAGAATTTAGATTATTATTTTAGATATAAACTTCTTCTAAACTTAGAGTTAATAGAATGAGAAGAAACCAGAGAATTTGTTTAAAAAAAAAAGAACATCAAATACGTATGATTGTTTAATTGTTTCTGTCGTCACACCTGTTCCCAATCCCCTAATTGACTTCCCCACCACCATAAATACTCACCAGTCTCCTTCACTTCACCACCAGAGTGTTTATGAAGTGACATCAAGCCTTCCTTTTTTAATTAATTTATTTTTTTTCTTATTAATTTGATTTCCCAGTGTGCTCTCATGGGCACTATTCTCCCACAATGCAGTGCACAGAGCTGCTCTCAGCTGGAAAAAATGAAACTAACGGTGATAAAACGGCTCCATGAACACCGCAGAAAGCAAAAGTAACACATAAAGTCACTGATTACCTTTAGTACATGTTACAGTACATAATTATAATCTCTCTGATATAAAATCAGTAAGGGATGTTGATTTCTAACAGCTGGTATGAAGTGATTCGATCGGGACCACTGAACATCTTTTCACCACCAAAACTAAGACATAATGTTAAAGAGTGGTGAAAGAGGTATTCAGATTTAAGTAAAAGTACTACAAAGTACTTAAATGAGCACATTTGAACTGCTTCCTATACTGTTGGGTAGTTCAGTGATATTCTATAAGATCATCATATGGCTGAAAAGTCAGTTGTTTTTCTGGTTTTCTGTTTGTTTCAGGGCATTTTCCAGCTGATCCCGGAGGCCTTTTAAATATTTTATTTAGTTTCAGAGAATTTTTCTTTCTTCAGTTCATCCAGAGGTCTCTAACTGCCAGCCCGGGGACCATTTCTGGCCCTCAATCCTCCTCCATTCAACATGATGTCAAAAATATAATAGAAGAATAAATTACTTCTTTAAAATAAAATGAATCTTTAAGTTTAACAAACAACCAATAAATATGTAGGCCTGCTCCATGATTTAATATATATTTTGATTGATAACTTTTTGAAATTGGGTTCACGGCTGTTAAGTAAGGCAAAACAAAAAGTAATATATAGAATTTTCTGTTTTTAAAACTCAAAGATTTAGGTTTTTCTAAAGAAGAAAAGTAAAATTATTTCATCAGGTCAGCAAAACGTTTTCAATTTTACTTCGAAACTTCAAGACTTGAAGACTGTTGCCTTGAAATTATGAGATATTTACAGTATTTTTTTACAGTGTTTTTACAATGTAAGTCAAGTAAAAACAAATCTCTTTTTAAAATTTTTTTAAATGATTTAGTTTGGAGAAAAATAATGGCCAAATGCGTGTTCAAACGATTGAAGAAGAGAGCAGGTTTGATGATGATGATGATATAAAATGAGGATATAAAAGTGTATAAAAACTGCTGCTTCCATATGTTTTTATGGTAAATATGATGTTAGCAGTGTAAACAATGTCAGAATATCGCGCTTTATTGTGATAGTTAAATGTTAAAGTCAGCCAAATTGAGTGAGAGACCCCAGCTGTAAATGCAGTTATGTATCCATGTGTCACACCTTTTTACATCCAGCAATCTGCCCTGACGCTGCCATGGTTGTACCTTGATATCGGCACCTTTTAATCTCCCTTTGTCACAAAGCGTGGCAGCGTGAAACCCTGTCAGCAGTCTGAAAATGAGACACTGCATGTGTTTGATGCTCACACTCATAGCTCATACCGAGAACAAAATGTAACATCTATCTTTCTCTCTGTCCTGTACGACCTTTATAAAAAAATCCCCTGTCCACACCGCCTAGACTCTGCTCAAAATGGAGCCTTAATTACACCAAAGCAATTACAGAGCCAATATAAAACCCTCGTCCACAGAGGAAGGGAGGAAAAAGTCCAGCAGCAACTTCAGAAACTATGAGTTTAAGACCTGAACCATGAACGAGTGTGTCTCTGGTGGCTCTGCACAGAAAATCTATAAAGGAGGAAAAAGTCTTTTGAACATTTTCTACTGTAGCAGAAGTAAAATCCACATTTTTAAGAAGCCTTCTTGTAGAGGCATTCACAGTAACTAGTCAGCACCGCACAAACACATTGTAACTAATAATAATATAATTAACAATTAGCACACACATCTTTAATTTGGCCTGCTGTCCACATACTTTTGGCCCTATAGTGTATGTATGTGAGTGTGGGTTTGTTTCTAGATATTGTGTATGCTGATGAGATGTCTTTATTCTGCTCTGGTGGCTTTGATGTGGCAGTCACTGGTGAGTAACACCACAGCGCCATCTTGTGGTGAAACGTCCACAGCTCAATGCAACTAAATTAAAGCACCAAATATACACCTCAAGAAGGAAATATTGAGCTTTTTTGGCAATTATTTTGATAATCCTTTTAGTGATTTAGTGGATTAATATTCACAAATGTGAGGATTTGCTTATTTTTTAATAAAATTTGAATTAATCCATTTAAATAACGTTGTGAAGTTTGGTTTTGGGTAATTGTGGCAACATTTCTAACTATTTTTTATAAGTTTTTTAAGATTTATTGTCTGAACTTTCTGGAGAAGCAGGGATGTTTCTCTTAATTAGCTGCAATTAAGAATTTAAATACACTTCTCTTTGACAACTTCAACAGTGAAGTTGAGCTGTAAATGTGCAGGTTTCCAACTATTAGTTGATTAATCGATAGACAATTAATCTTACTTCTGTTAAGGTTATGTATCAAACTGCACCCTGTTCTTCAGCTGTGTCTGAACTGATTCTGATTTGTTATCAGACTCAAAATAATCCAGTTTATTCTCATCCAGCTAATCTGGTTCTTCCACAGCAGTTTGAGGATTTATTTGTTCATCCTGAATGATTAACAGCTCGCTCTTATTTTGAAATAAAAGACAAAATGAGCAGAGTTGAAACCTTGATCAGCTTTCATATGATTGGCTGAGTGCTGATTGTGTGATTGCAGTTATACAAGGTGTTGTGTTAAGAACCTTCCCAGCATGCACTAGAGATTCATGGTTTTAAGCGTTTTAAGGTTATTTTATTGTTTACAACACAGGGTTGTATAATGAAATTCAGATATAATTCCCTTTATGCTTTAAATAAAAAATTATTAAGTCTCCTTTTTGTGTTCCTGCTTTGTTACGGCTGTCAAAGCAGCTTTAATGTAAAAAAAATAATAAAAAAAGCCTTTCAGAAAAGCGAGTCTTTTAAAATGACAAATCCCCATTGTAATGTAAAAATAAAGGCGTTATGTTCTGGCTCCTCATCTTTTAACAGATTCTTTGTTTACGTCTCTTTATCTAGTTTATTATGTGTAAGTATAGGAAACTCTTCATTATGACAACACAACATAATCTCAATAACCGCTCATCTAAAATATGAATATATAGCAACACTCTTTCATTATAAATCTAAGAAAACGAGCTGTTTGCACCTGGAAATGACTTCCTGTTTAGGGTCTTGGTCATGATCCAGCTGTCAATAAGGTGATTGTTGCTATGACAACAGTTCCTGATGCATTTTAAACCAGCTTTAAAAAAAAAAAAAAAAATTAAAAAAAAGGCAGACTCATGTGAAATCCACATAAATTGAGGATTTCCTAGTTTTCAACTGTTAAAACAAAAGTAAAATTGAAAAAAAAAACCAGAAAGGGGGGGAAATCAGGTAGTTGAAGCTCAAGACAAGTTTTCACAAGAAAAGGTTTGATCAAGAGAAGTAGGTGTAGACAACTTTATTTAGAAAAGGAGGTAAAGACACATTCTCTCTCATGGGAGAATTATTTTTCAATATACCAAACACCATGGGATTGAGCTTGGACAAACTTCTGCTCGGCAGTAAAATTAGTGTTTATTAATGATCTACAAACCAGTCGTTAAACTGCACATTAACACTCACACTGCTTCTGGAGGAGAATCTCTTTAATACACCTCTGACTTTAATACTCCTCCCCCTCTTCCTCTTCGTCGAAGGAGTCGAGGCCGACCTCTTCGTAGTCCTTCTCCAGGGCGGCCATGTCCTCTCTGGCCTCTGAGAACTCTCCCTCCTCCATCCCCTCCCCGACGTACCAGTGGACGAAGGCCCTCTTGGCGTACATCAGATCGAACTTGTGGTCGAGCCGAGCCCAGGCCTCGGCGATGGCGGTGGTGTTGCTGAGCATGCACACGGCCCTCTGCACCTTGGCCAGGTCTCCTCCGGGAACCACGGTGGGAGGCTGGTAGTTGATGCCCACCTTGAAGCCTGTGGGGCACCAGTCCACAAACTGGATGCTGCGCTTGGTTTTGATGTTGCTGATGGCCACGTTGACGTCTTTGGGCACCACGTCGCCGCGGTACAGCAGGCAGCAGGCCATGTATTTGCCGTGACGAGGGTCACACTTCACCATCTGATTGGCGGGCTCGAAGCAGGAGTTGGTGATTTCCCCCACAGTGAGCTGCTCGTGATAGGCCTTCTCTGCGGAGATTACGGGGGCGTAGGTGGCCAGAGGGAAGTGGATACGAGGGTAAGGCACCAAGTTGGTCTGGAACTCCGTCAGGTCCACGTTCAGGGCGCCGTCGAAGCGCAGGGAGGCGGTGATGGAGGAGACGATCTGGCTGATGAGGCGATTCAGATTGGTGTACGACGGACGCTCGATGTCCAGATTCCTGCGGCAGATGTCGTAGATGGCCTCGTTGTCCACCATGAAGGCGCAGTCGGAGTGCTCCAGGGTGGTGTGGGTGGTCAGGATGGAGTTGTAGGGCTCCACCACGGCTGTGGACACCTGAGGTGCCGGGTAGATGGCGAACTCCAGCTTGGACTTTTTGCCAAAGTCTACTGAGAGGCGCTCCATCAGCAGAGAGGTGAAGCCAGAGCCGGTTCCTCCACCGAAGGAGTGGAACACCAGGAAGCCTTGCAGCCCCGTGCACTGGTCAGACTGAACCAGAAAGGAAGAAGTCATAATATAAGAATGCTGCAAAACAGACTAAAAACACTCCTAAAAATATATAGAGAGCCATTTAAAACCTGTGCTGCTTCTTAGTGTAAACAAGAAGAACATTTGAATAAAGAACATTTGAGGATTTCGACCTCCATCAATAGCCTACAAGGTTCTCTGCACTTCAGACAGCATGACTAATGCTGTAAGGCCCGGCCCGTCATCAATCATGACTAAAAATAGAACAAACATGTTTTCATTCTCACCAGTTTGCGGATCCTGTCGAGTACAGAGTCGATGTGCTCCTTTCCGACGGTGTAGTGACCACGGGCGTAGTTGTTGGCGGCGTCCTCCTTTCCAGAGATGAGCTGCTCGGGGTGGAAGAGCTGGCGGTACATGCCTGTACGGACCTCATCTGAGGGAGAGAGAGGAGTTGATTTGAAAGCGCGTTAGTACTGTCTCCTCTTAAAACTTTAAATATGTGCCTTAGTGTACAAGAAATACACTACTCACAAAAAGTTAAGGATATTCCACTTTCAGGTGAAATTTATGGAAAATGTAAAAAGTTGATGCTACAGTGATATTATATCATGAAAGTAGGGCATTTAGGTAGAAGGTCAAATTAAGATCACCTGGAAAGGTTATAGTGCCTTTTTACGTACATTCTGAAATTTCATCCGAAAGCAGAATATCCCTAACTTTTTGTGAGTAGTGTACATGTGACAATCCGGCCCAAAATATTGGTTAAGCGTCTCAAGAGCTCAGCCCCCCCCCCACATTGTGCTTTTATACGTCTTGTTTTCTTGCTTAGTGAAAGTAATGTTTGCCCAAAAGAGAGTCATTTTATCCAATTATTGATTTGAGGGTTTATTGTATTCTTTTAAAATAAGACCATACTTATTGGCTGATTTAAACTCAAGTCAATAAGGGGACAATAAGCCTTGCTTGAGATTAAACTTTGGTTAACATATAAATTCATATAAACGACAGTGCTGCCATAACATCTATTGACTTTGATGTCCTAGTTAGTATGGGTAATGATCAGCTAACTTCTTTCACCTTTTGAAGTTTTCCTTTAACCTTTTTCATGAGTTTTTCTTTGAGTTTTATTACCTCAGCTCTGGTTCAAAGTTTCAAAATGTTTCCACAACTAAACCAAGACCCATAAAGACCCACATCTCCTCAACAGTAGCTCCCAGGTAAAAGGATGTGTAAACTCACCAATCACACTGGGCTCCAGGTCCACAAAGATGGCTCTGGGGACGTACTTCCCGCTGCCGGTGTCACTGAAGAAGGTGGTGAAGGAGTCGTCGTAACCTCCGGATGGCTTCGCGTTGGGCATGCAGCCGTCAGGCTGGATGCCGTGCTCCAGGCAGTACAGCTCCCAGCAGGTGTTGCCCATCTGGACACCAGCCTGGCCGACATGGATAGAGATACACTCGCGCTGTGGAGGGATAAATAGATTTTATATGTTAGAATTATTATTATTCAACCGTTCCTGAATCAAGCATGATTTAGGGATATTTAATGAGATTTCAAATATCAAAACTGTCACCACACACCCCCACCCCCCACACCCACTTTGAAAACACACTTTAGTCGAACCATTTAGCTGAATAACTTAATGCCATTTCTGCTTTTAAACCCGTTTTGACATGCAGAAAATGACAGTTGACCAGGAAACATCGGGTGGAGTCATGATGACTTTTCAACTGCGGTTTATAGTTTTTGCAATATTTGTGTCACAACCTGACTTCTGTGCGTTCAACTTAGCAGGTCTGGACATGCAAAACTTGCGATTTTCATAGATAGAGATATAGAAATATAGCAGGATGTCGCACCACCAATCAGGAGCCAGCGATCTAAGTAAGTAAGCAGTGGTGATTAACACAGTCTCGATAGAGTGTCAGGGGCCAAAGTACTTCCACACCCTGCTGAAATATTTCTAGTTACTTGCAAATGATGTGGGTGGGGGGTGGAGGCGATGAGTGCAGGCTTGCTGAGGACTGAAACAAGTTTGGTCTGATCATTTGGAAGGGAAATGTTGGCCGCCAGAGGGGAGTTTAAGACACAATGTCATCCGCCCTGTTTGGTTATCTGGCATTCAGGAGGAGGGGCTACAAGTGATAGAAATGCAAACGATGTGCGAGAGGGGGAGAAGAGGGGGAAACCCCTCACTTCAAAGTACATCAGTAGCGTTCAGGACAGCATTATTAATGAGCTGCTAACTTGTGTTAAAAATGCACAAGTCCAATTCATTTTGCGGTGTGTTTACGTTATTGCAGCACTCAGTCTGCCAACATAAGGTCAGCAGTCACCGGTAATATGAGAACACAAACATGTCGAGGATTGCTGTCAAGATATCACCACCTCATACCTGCCGAGACATTTTATACGTCCGTATAATAAATAGTTTGAAGTTTACGTGCTGACTTAGTGGTAAAAGAGGCTACAGCCGACTACACACTGACCTCATCTCTCACGAGTCAGTGAAATATTTGAGTTGTTTTTGTGACTGCAGTCTCTGACAGGGTCGCCCGTCATGTTTTTCCAGTGAGACCTCTTACGCAACACAAACAACCGGGCCCCCAACAACGCAGAACACGTCCTACAAGATCACTCAGTCTGATAACAAAGGGGGGGTGTTATCTGAAGGGTGACTTTTAGGATGCTGGATTTGCTGGAAGTATCAGAGTGACCTACTTTCTTTCGAGAGAACCACATTCAAACTGGTGATTCTCAACCAGGCCTCGACAGGGGGTTTGTGGGAAGATCAAGCTCAAATAATCATAAAATAAAAAACACCACATGTTGATTAGAAATGTATACATCCCCATTTTGAGTCAGGTTTCACACCCTGAACATGTGTTGCAATTTAGAGCAAAATAATGCAATGTTTGAAAAAGATAAAGTATAAATTGTTAGACAAAAGTAACGGAAAAGAAAGGTTGAAATCTAGCTAAATGTATGAGTCATTTGTCTCTCATTGTGGGCTTGGGGCTTGTTTTGAATTGTGATCCTTTGACCTCCTCCCCTCCCCCTAAAAAAGTTTGCAATGAGCACGGAGGAGGGGTCAGTCACATGGGAGTTGCCAAGTATGGCGACGGCAGCCAGCTCAGCAGCCAGCTATTTTGAGTGACGCATCAAAATCATGCAAACCACACAGACGGCTTAAACTATACCCCACTAACCTGTTTGGAGTCCCAGACTGAGGATTATATGGTGGTAATAATATGCTTAAACTGCAGCGTGCGGCCTCAAATCAGAGCTTCTGACCAACTTTATAGAGCTTGTACAAAGTCTTAGCAGTGCTCTGAAAATCCTAACTGTATATCTTCATGAAAGAAGTGAGCTAACATGACTAAATCCTCCCAAAAGAGGTTGAGTTACTCATTCATATCAATAAAACCAAATTCAAAAATGAATTGTTGAATAATAACCCAGTATTTTAAAGTATTGGTCATATAATTGCAGTTTATTCCATCGACTCATTTCCATCAATCATTCAATTTAAGTGGTAACATTTCTATATATAAAAAAAGATTCATTTAAGTTACTTTATTCAGATAAATTCTGTTAACACACTTTGAATGAGTTTGGAGAAATGCTGCGTTTAGTGTCATATACTTAATAGTTTTAAGTACAATTAATTTAAAATGAGTTACTAAATAGTTTAAAGGCAATCAGTTTGGGTTAAAGCAACTCATCAGGTTTACAGTGTGTGTAGTTACAATATGATAAAAAGCACAGAATCCAACTTATGAAGCTTTCAGTATAAACTTTCCATTTTATTTCCGTTTTTTTTGTTGGCTGGATTTTGAGAAAAGTGGAAGCGGTGGCCTATTTGTCCACTGCTACCGCAACATCCGCCTTACAAGACACACAAACTGAAGTTTATGGCGGCAAACAGAGTGATTATCTGCTTCCTGTGTCTTGTCCTGAAAGTACGTCACAGCTGACACTGGGTTCTCAACACAGAGGCGCATTGTGCCATTAGCAGTCTGTTGCGTACATACAGACATATAGGAACACATTTAGAATTGAATCGCTTCCCCAATTTAAAAAAAAAAAAAAAAGGGATGTGTTATATTCACACACTGCACGTTGTGTAATGTACCAACTGGACAGACCCAACTATAAAAACTAATTCTAATACGACTAAAATAAATCTGATCTCCATACAGACTCAGATTAACAGTAGTAAAGGTGGAATAGAAACTCCATGAGGCAGGAAGACCCCTCCCCTTTAATGTCGTACAGCAAATGGCCCAACAGGAAGTGTCAGCAGCTCAAAACCATTTGGGGAAACTAGACTTTCCCTCCTTCGAGTTAACGCCTCCACAAAGTGCTTTTATTTAACTCCTTTCCATCCAAATGACCTGCACACATTGCAACACACTCCCTGGTTGTTTGCGAATAAACAGAGCCCAAAAAAAAAAAAAAAAAAGGGGGCAAGGTCAACATCATGAGCTCACGCTGAGGAATGAACTTCAGACTCTTAAGCTCTTGTCAGCTGGTCATAAAAATGTTAAATCCTAAAAAGAAAAAAAAAAAAGGATTTATCATCATGTGCCTGGCCTCATGGCATCAAAAAATAATAATCTGTGCACATTGGTGTGTTTCTTTAAGAGACCCTAAAAGTAGCAGCTTCAGGTCCAACAGTGCAGGAATCCAGCAGCTCTATCAGCATGAGCGCTGAGCGGCAAATATAGAAGTTAAACACACAAGCTGGCCTGCTGGAAAGCCACATCAGCATTCCTACAGAGGCAGCCAGGGCAAACAAGCAAGCCCTCCTGACAGGCAGGGCCTCCAGAGCCTCCAGAGCCCATATGGAACCAGTTAACCTCTACTGGAGCTGGAGCCACATGTCTGGGAGCATGTTTCCACTCACTGCCTTTCAGCTTTTCCCACCTTCCACAATCTAATACAGGAGTTCTATGTGGCGCAGCAATGCCAGCAAAGTTATTTCAGAAGCAGCCTGGGGGCCTCACCAAAAATGGGGGGAGAAAAAAAAAAAGAAAAAAAAAAAGAAAAAGAAGAACAGGCCATCGACTCAGGCTTGTGACACACTTTTCTTTTTAGGAGTGTGGGGGGAGGAAGTACGCAGAAACAATCTAAAAACATCTTACACGAGGATTGCAATATCTCCTTACACACACACACACACACACACACACACACACACACATACATACACACACACACACACACACACATACACATAATTCTCCACAGGAAGCACACAACAGTTACAATGTTGCTCTGTTTCTTTCTTTAACGGATGTGAGCTGAGAAATGGAGCTCCTAACGACAACGAGGACTTCACACTCACCATGGTGCTGTTCTGATTGTCCTTTCAGGGGCCAAAAAAAAAGAAAGAAGAAGAAGTAGAAGTTGAACGAACTTGCAGGGTCTCACAGGGCACCTATAATGAGATCTCTGTGAGTGGAGTCCTGCCGCTGTGTGACGCACATACTTTTATAGCTACTACGAGGGGGTGGGGTGGGGGGGGGTGGGGGGGAGGAAGAGGAGGAGGAAGAGGAGGAGCCTTCAACAGCTGCAGCTTTGTTCTTTTCAAATCTGAAAAGCTGAGCTGGCTTCCTGGTTCGGCCCTTTCAGAGTAAGAGTGTCTGTGGTGAAAGTTTGTTTCCCCGGGCTGGAAAGTGTTAGAAATAAAAACTTTTTCACTCTGGAAAAAAAAAAAACCATGCTGGAAAAACTCATTTGAATTTAAAGTGATTTCTTTATTTACTTTGTTTTATTTATTTATTTATTTGCGTTTTTACTACATTGTAAACACAGGTAAGTTCATTTAACTCACACATTGATGCAACTGGTTGACATTTAGATCAAACTAACTCAAGTTAAAACAAACTTTATTGATCAAGAAGCTTTAGTCATTTTTATTGACACCGACTTTATTTTGTAATTTTTATTTGTACTGTGTGAACAACATTCCCAGTAAATAAAAAAAAGTGCTTAATCAGGAAGTTCTTATTTTTTTCAGTTATATAATTTATCAAGATTTACATAATCGGATTAAAAGATGTGTTGCATTGTTACAGATTAACCCTCTCCACTGTGAAAAAAACATTAAATGACTTCTGAGTTGTTGCTGATGAATGCAGGACTTTTACTTGGAATTTAGTATCTTTACATTACTATTTTTACTTAATGTAAAAGATCTAAACCCTGATATATTTCCACAGTAAACTAATAATTCAGGAACAAAGTTTGTTATTATATATAATAATATAATAGCTATAATATGAGAGCTAATGAGAGTCTCTCTGTAACATTATAACTGTTACATATACAGTTTTTCTAAATTAATGTAGCTTTTATTTTGAATCTTTTCAGGCACTTCCTCTGCTGGAGCTCACATAAGATGGCAGTGCAGGTTACAGCCACTAGATGGAGGCCTTATCATCTTAACATCTCTATCATTCCCACACTGATGCAAACAGTTGGAAATATCCACTGGCTCTCATCCTCTGTGTACCTTTCTGTAATTTAAAAGGAGCAGGACACAGTTTCCGTTTCATTTGGTGGATTTCTCATTCTGTGGTTTATGACTGTGCCTGAAGGTAGCTTGTGCATGTTGGGCAGTATCAACTTTATCACTCTCCTGAAGGATGTTTGGTTTGTAGACAGGAACACACTGATGATAATCAACAATATATATATTAATATAGGCCTAATGAATGAAAAAAAACATGTATGAGGAGTAAATCAAGCCAAAAATGTATTTTAAAACACCAATATAAAGCCAAATATTGTATATTTATTTGATAGATTTCCTTTATTTTTTTGTGAGCCACAGTCTAGCATAAGATTGTTCTATCTCTAATAAAAGAAATAATGGAAATATTGTTATATTTATTACAGTATTATGGTCTGGATTCACGTGTTGCAGATTTGTGAGCTAAACATTATTTCTGTTATATCTATCAAAAATAAGTTCCAAGATCAGTAATTTTTTATGACAAATTCTTACTCTAACAATGTTACATAACTTCAAAATAGTTTCAAACAGTTTGAGAACAATTACAAAATAGGATGTTGGCTCTTTTTTTCTGGCTAACTTTCATGTTTTTTCCAAAATAATGTATAGATTTGTAGGCTTTATTCTATTATCTCCACTGGCTTTAAAAATAGGACACCCCTGCACCAGCTGCGCTATATGGGGCTTTATGACGTTTGGTATAAGAGAAGAAAAGATGCAGCATATGTGGTAAAATGTAGTGTCTCTCTCTCTCTCTCTCTAAAATTCAGCTTTCACGCCACAAATGTGAAACCTGTCCATCACTCACTGATCCAGGAGCCCAACAGAGGCCGTAGCTCATCGCACCAGGCCCTCGGCTCTGAATGTAAACGTCCTCATAATCCTCAAATGAACCCCTGAGTCCTCCGGAGCCTGGAGCTTCAGCCCCTGAACCCCACTCATTCCCCTTCAAACACTCCTCTAAGCGCCTTCTTTTTGGAAAGGAGAGATAGTTTAGCGATAGGCGGATAATGGAGATCTTTTTCAAGTGTTGTGTCTCGTCCTCCTCCTCCTCCTCCTCCTCCTCCTCGGAGGTGCACAGATTACTTTTCTTTACATCTTCCTCACTGGTGAGACTGTAAACTATTTCATTCCTTCACTTCTCCTGACAGTTTGGCAGCTTTTCTGTGGCCTGATTTTAAAAAAAGTCTCCATCATTTAGTCAAGTAGAGTAATTTATGTGTTAGAACAAGCAACACATGAAGGTATATAAAGGGTCATCTGCAGGATTTACTGACACTTCTTTAAAAAAATAGGATTTTCTTTGGGAGGAACAACAGAAATTCATCTATTCCATTTACAATCAGTGCACTTTATTAGAATATATTACAAACTGCATTTATAGTACATCATACTGTACTTTTAATGTCTTTATTGCTCTTAGTACGTTCATGTTTTATGTTTTAAATATGTGATTTTATGCTGCCTTGCAACAACAAGATTTTCCTTAACTGAAAAATCAGACACAAACCTTGAAATTAAATAACATGTATATTGACTCGAGTGTATAATGTGTGTGTCAAGTCTGAGAAAATAACCTTAATGATGTCTGTGTTACTCTTTTTTCAAGTTGCAAGTTTATGGTAAATGTAGGATAAGATAAGATAAGATAAGATGTTCCTTTATTGATCCCCTGTAGGAGAAATTCAAGTTTTCCACAGCAGCGCAGGGGAAATGTATTTATAAAAATACAAATATAATAAGTAAAATACAATAGAAATCTAGAATATAACAAATATATATCCAGTGTTTTTGGATATTGGGGGACTAAAAGTCACATTCAGTCAATATTTGCCCATTTGCTCTTAAATCTGTGTATCACTTGCAGTACTAGACTGCTGAAGAACACATTTAAAGGTACATTAATGTAGTATTCACTATGATACAGCTGATAAACACAAGAGTTCAGTCTGCTTGACACTGACATGACATTATCTTGTGCTTGATTACTTTGTCCACATAAAGAAAACAGGTTAAAACACAGCTTACTTACTTTTTCTAATAATAATATACACTTCTTTACCTGACATTTCTCTGTTATAAATATAATATATAATATAATATATATATATATTCAATCTGTTCTCAGGAAGTTGTAGACGCAACCCTTAAAAACCGGTAATGAACCACTCAATACCTGGAAATATAAATGGGAAGACAAATTAATTATATAGTATGTTCTAACTATTTTTTAACGTGTGAGACCTCCATTTAAAAGCTGTAGGCTGTAAGAGTGTATCTCTAATTTATGGGTGTAACATTATGCAGCATTGTTTAAACACAGCCAATCAACACTGAAAGTGCAGAGCAAATGAAATCACTGGTGCATCAATATGAATATGCATGTAAGGTGTTTTAACTTTAAGCTATTAGTTTAACATCAATACATCCTGTGTCTGAATCAGATCTGTTGTTACAGCACAAAACAGGGAGAGAGCGCTGTTCTTTCAAAGTAAAATTAAGCTGGCAGAATTTTTAGGATGGAGGAACGCAACAGAACCTTAATTAGTATCATTGGTGACACCTGTATTTACTATGTGGACGTCAGTGTGTCAGTTTCTGCTCCACTTTGGCTGAAATATCTCAACAACAACTGGATTTGTTTGCCATTAAATGTAGTTTTGTACATTAATGTCGCCCACAAGGTGAATCCTAATGACTTTGGTGATCAGGTCAGACTCCTGTATCCATAATACTCAGAATCAGGTTTATTGCCAAGTAGGTTTTCACATACAAGGAATTTGGATGGAGGATTTTGTTTTGGATTGTTCTTATAATGTGATACGGTAAATCCCTATTACCAACTTCCTGTTAATAAATTAGTTTTTGGATCGAGGTTAAAAAAGTGAAGTGGGATATTTCAGGCTCTTGATGCGTCCTTTGGGATCCTTTGTGTGTATTCTGTCCTCTCTCTCTCTCTCTCTCTCTCCCTCTCTCTCTCTCTCGGGGGTGGAATAATCCACTCCATTGATTCAAGTGTTTGGACGACTGTTAGCAGTTAGCAGAAAATGCTAATTTCAGTTGCAACCGAGAGACTCCTGGAAGGATTTAGCCTCAGAAATAAGGAACTCTAATCCCTTCCAATTATTATCTGTTGCTAAGTGGACTCCTCATCCTGACATAATCTGTTAATACAAAATCCACTGATTGCTTTTCCTTAAAAAAAAACAAACAAACAACAAAACGAAGATCTGAAACAAAGAGTTAGCATCACGCTATTACAGAACAGCCGTCGTCATCGAGCGGCAATCGCCGGGGCCGAGGATCCCGCTTTCGCACGTCGGCTTATTCGTTATTTTGGCAATAAATATGGATTCGCTTCTGCAGTTTGAATGATGCAGAACAAAAAAAGAAGCTTTCACAGTGAGATTTGAGCCACGTATGAATATTCAGTCTCTAAATCCCAGATTAAATGGTTTGCTATTAACAGGTTGGTTATTTACAGACAACACTCAGCAAGAAGCTTGTGATTCGATCAAAGGACTGAAGGAGGTCACCTTTCATTTATTAGGGTATCATGGAGGCTCAGGTTCAGGCAAAATAAAGATTAGACATGTCTATAAAACATTGTTTAATATGAATTTATGCATTTCCATCTATTGTTTCCATCCAGTGCCCAAATGTGTCGGTGTGGTCTATCGGCTTCAGGTTTTATAATATAAACAGCCATGTCGGTGAGGTTCTACTTCATCTCGACATAAAAACATGTAACTCGCCTAAACCTGGTAAATGTGGGATTTTTTGGGTTTACTCAGACAACAAAGCTTTGTGATTTCACAATCTGGGTTGCACTAGCTTTCCTTATTGTGATTAAAATAATTATAGTTCTATGAATCAAGTAAATTTGAATTTAGGGCATGTTGGAGCTTACATTTATGCTTCAGAAAAACTCCATGTTTCTCATATAAATAATACAATTAACTGTATTATTCATTGTCCAAGAGCAGGTT